ACTTTGTGCATGCAAGCCCTAGCCCCTGGCTTATTTCAAAGTCAGCCCCAGGTGCCATATCATTTAATCTGTGCCTATTAAGCATATATCTCTAAGAGACAGGCTGATAACCACGGTGTTGCTGTCACCCTGAAACACAGCTAGTGACATCATTTAATATCGCCAGGGGCCACCAGGCAGTGGTGCCACCAATCCTGACAATCTGAGTTCTTGAGTTGAATGTCCAGGCCCCACGTGGTGAGAGAACAGACTTCCCAGTTGTCCTTTGACCTACACACACACATACCAAATACATGAATAGAATATAATTAAACGATTAAAAAACTTGTCAGCCAGGAGTGGTGGCACACACCTTTAATCCCAGCACTCGGGAGGCAAAAGCAAGCAAATCTCTGTGAGTTCAAGGCCAGCCCTGGTCTGTAGAGCTAGTTCCAGGACAGCCAGGGCTACACAGGGAAACCCTGTCTTGGAAAACCAAGTGTGTGTGTGTGTGTGTGTGTGTGTGTGTGTGTGTGTGTGTGTGTACATATACATACATATATGTGTGTATAATACATACATACATACATATACATACGTACACACACACACACACACACACACACACATATGGTTTTTGGTCAGGGGTCATTCTGGTTGCTGAGCTGCTGCAGACTGGCTTCCTGTGGCTAAATGCTGTGAATCAGGATTCCAGCTTGCTGTGGACCTCCATCTTACGCACGTCATCTGCGAAGTCTCTTCCAGTCTGGACAGGATCCCATTGGCCTTGTCTCCTGTGGAAGAAACAAGACAGTTTTTCAAATTTTGTTTTGTCCTGTTGAGACAGGGTCTCGCTCTGTAGTCCAGGTTGAACTCAACTCACAGCAATCCCCCTGCCTTAGCCTCCTTAGTGCTGGAATTACAGGCATTTGTCATGAAGCCAGGCGGCCTTTCTGTCCTGCTTCTTGTTGGGCTTGAGGGATTCTGTTTATTCTGTTTCATCTGTTAATCCTTTTCCAAACACACCTCCCAGGTAGCTCCCCATTCTTCAGGCTGCCTTGTACCCCACCGATATGTTCTTGTTACATGAAAGTTTTACATTTTCATTAAGTCCAACTTGTCTGGCTTTTCTCTTGTGGACTGCTTTTGGCCACCACTAAATCTAGTATCTTGAGTTTGGTCTTTAAGTTTTCTAAGTGTTTTATAGTTTTAGCCCTTTGTTTCGGCTCTTTGATTCATTCTGAGTTGTTAGAACTACAAAAATTCAACACACGGGATTTCCTGTATTCTAGAGCTTGCCAGTTGCCTCCTGGTGAACACTTTTCGCCCAGTTTGGTGTGCAGAGTAACAGTGACTTGGTTGGCGTTGGGTTCAGTGTTTTGGCAAGGCCTCTTTTATAAATAATGGCTGCTTTTTTTTTTTTTTTTTTTTTTTTTTTTTTTTAACCTCCTATGATGCTGAGATGGATCCGTGGTTTCAGGGCTCCGTTATACCTTTGAGCCTCAGACTCGACTACAGAGCATGAGTCATGGGGAAGGCTAATTAATATACAGCAGGTTCTGCCCTGTACCCTGGGGTTCCAGATTCTATCAGGGTGGGGTGGGTGGGGCCCAAGAATGTACAGTTTTGGCAGGCTCCCTGGTGATATCACTTTGGAAGCTCTGCCATGAGCCGCTGTGTCCCAGCACCTGTAAGTTTCACTAAATGCACACAGGTCTCTTCTGGGGACCTGACGGTGTACTGGGAGATGTTTCTGTTTCTTTGTTTGCTTACTGTTTTGGAGGGGAGGTGATTTTATAGCCCAGGCAGTCCTTGAACTTGTGCCCCTGCTTCCTCGTCCCTCCAAGTGCTGGGATTTCAGGCTTGAGCCTCTGTCCAGCAAGTGGTGGGATTCGGTCGATCCCTGTGTTCTGGGTCACCAGCCACTGCCAACCCTATTATCAGCCCTCAAATTCACCATAATTTGTCTTCCCACACTTGGCACTTCCAGAGGGAAGGGGTGAACTCGGCGAGCGGTGACCCCCGAGAGCAGTGACCCAGATATTCCTTCCTTGCCCTCAAGCCCTGGGCACTAAGTGAGCCCTGAGCCAGGGCTGGGGAGAGGCTGGTGACTGAATGAAATCATAGTCACCTCTCTTTACAAACCTTCTGGAACTTTCTGCTTTGGAATGTTCTAATCTCTGGTTCAGGATGCTGGGCTTGCTCATTTCCATAGCTTTCTCTTTCACGGGCAAGTTGTCAAAGTCAGGCTCCCAGGAACTTAAGCCGTCACCTTATGGCAGAGTGAGCAGCTTGTCCCGGTCCGTCTGGGACAGCCTCAGGTTTGGGGGTTTTGTTTGGTTGGTTTTTTTTTTTCCTTCCAGTCCTAGACATTAGACCCAGGGCCTTGCGCATGATCGGTAAGTGTCCTGCCGCTAAGCTGTGCCCTCAAACCTGTCACCACTGTGTGTGTTTCCTGAGAGGGGCCCTCACTATGGAGTCCAGGCTAGCCTCAAAAGTGTGACAATCGTCCCTGAGCCTCCCCAGGGTTGGGATCCAGATGTCAAGCCACCACGCCCAGCTCCTTTTTTCAAGTTTTTATTTCGAAGCAGACTCTTACTACATTTCCCAGGCTGGTCTTGAACCTGAAATCCTCCTCTTCTTTGGCTTCTTAGTTATAGCACAAAAACCCCTTGTCCAGGGAGCCATCCATGGTCCCTGGAAGACGGGCACAGTTGGTCACTCTCCTGAGGGACCACCAGGCCTCTTCTTACTTTGAAATGGTAGTGGGGGGAACCCTGAGGTCCTAGTTGCCTGGGTCTCTGTGACACACACTTGAGATCATTGCTGGCTGGAGAACGCAGAATTAAAAGATGCCTCGTGATAAGCATTTGTGGTTTCAGTCAGGGCTTGGCCTCAGATTGAGAGACTCTGTGTTGAGAAAAACCTTTACCAGAAGGTGCCGGGACCTATGGTTTCTTCTTCCTCGTGAGGCAAGAAGATATCACGAAAAAGGGCAGAGGTGTTGGTACATAGCCTTGACCTCAAGAGGGCCACATGGGGCTCTCTGATTGGCTCCCCGAGCCAGCTGTCCAACCTGATCTGGTATGGAGTAGGCCCTCACTAGGAATTCTGGGTGCATTAAAAAGAGACTTAACAAAGCACTAAAATGGCTTACCTTGAAAGTCTGAGGGCTTGAGTTCAGTGATGGAACCATGTAAAAAGCCAGATGTTATAGGGCACATCTGTAAGGCCAGCGCTTCCTCAGTGGGATGGGGCACAAAGACAGGAAAATCAACTGGAAGCTTGAGGGCCACTGTGGCATGCAGAGGGCCACTGTGGCATGCAGAGGGCCACTGTGGCATGCAGAGGGCCACTGTGGCATGCAGAGGGCCACTGTGGCATCACGGTAGAAACAACACCTGCCTCAACAAGGTGGGAAGAGAGAACCGTCTGCCAAAAACTGGTGTCTGAGCTCCACAGGTCAGAGATTTCTCAGCAGGGTTGAGGCCAAGGTCAGGGTCATGGTGCACTCTGTTGGGTAGCAAGCCAAGGGTTTTAGTCTGAGTGTGGGTGCACCCCCAATCATGTTTTATTGCGATAATTCTTGGTCTTTGAAGATCACTTTCAAATAAAGTAGTTTGGCTTGCTTGGGTTTTGTGAGACAGAGTCTTGTTGGGTAACTCAGGGTAGCTTTGAACTTGCTGTGTACCTCAGGCTGGCCTTGAATTCCCTGTGTAGCGGGAGCCGACTTTAAACTCTTGACCCGCGTGCTGGGATTTGGCAGGTGCCACCACACCTATCTTGCCCTTCCAATCTCCCTCTAATAACCAGGCTATGATAGAAAGTGGTGGTTCAGACCCTCCCACAAAGCACTTACATGGAGCGGCCTCTGTGCCCACAAGGTCAAATTTTAAGAGGAAGAAACAAAAGAAAAGCCTGAGAGAGCAGATGTGGAATGTCTCTGGCAATACCAGACTCCAGCTCAGCCCACCTGTCCACAAACCGAATCAGGTAAAGTCCTCCTCACCATAAGGCCACCTACAGGGGGCACTAGGGGGTACTCCACTGGATGATTTGTGCCCCTCCCAACTTGGGTTCCATTTCAGCTACCTGCAGGGCTGGGTGAAGAAGGGACCTTGGAGAACAGGAAGGAAGATCTGTGGTTTACTCCCACATCCCCCTCACCCCCCGCCCTCCAGCAACATCACCCACACAGGTGCACATGCACACATCACAGGAAGACATTCGGCTTTGACTTCCCAGTCACATGGCTTCCCCTGCACCTCCCATTACCGTCGTTAAATGGGGATAGTACTCCCTCTCTACCTCTCAGGAGGGCTGCAGGGGATGAGACAGTCCCCCATTCCACAGCCAAACGTTGGGAAATGCCCCCCCAGGGGGGCTGTTGCACCTAGAGTCAACTAAAGCCTTTTCAGGGTGGAGATTTCCAGCCCCCAGCCTGATCCCATGGCATCCAGCCACTGGGCACGCGCAGGATGGCAGCAGAGCCCCAGGAGGCTGCTGTGGAGGGATGTGGGCCCTGTCCAGAGCCTGCCAGCAGGGGAAGTGAAACTGCTGAGTCATCACAGCTACCGGTGAAGGCCCGGTCCTTGAGCACACCTGGGCCAGAGCCCCAGGAGCTCCCTGGTGGATGCAGGGCTCATGCCCAGGTGTCTACCCGGGTCACGCAATACGGACACTCCCGTGCGGCACACAGAGGGCCTGACCTTACTGGATGCCATCCTCCCCCGCTTCTGTAACCTCTCCCCCATGTCAAAGGTCTGGACAAACCTTGACAGTGGAAATAAAGACCGGGGTGGGGCAGCTGGGTGTTGGCAGTCACATTGCTCTGCACTGGGTGGTTTCATCCATGGAGGCCAGCAGCTCCCTTTCCAGAGGGGAGGCACAAGTCTGTG